CTCACCTCTGCCCAAGGCCCCTCCGCCCCCTCCGCGAGGTGTAAACAGGGAGAGGGACGCAGGAGAAAGAGAGACGGGAAATGTTTGCCAGGGCCAAGAGAACTGCCACCTGCACATCTCAGACGTTTCTGAAATTCCCTGTGCAGCACAACGAATGATAAACAAACTGCGACACACACATGCCGAGGAGTTTAATTACTCAGCATAAGGAACAAGACCCGAACATGCACCAGCAAGGCACACTTGACGCTGTTAGCTACCACACGGGTGCAACCCAGGATCACACACTCAGAGGGAGATGACGTCAACCGGAAGGCACCTGCGCGCATGACTCCTTCCACACCGAAATGCCCAGAACAGGCAACTCTGGTAGGTTCGTGGCTGCCGGGTGGGTCGGGAGGCGTTGGACGGGAATCGAGGGCGGGGGAGGGGACTGGCGATTTCCTTTTTGGGGGATGAAAAAACGCTTCTGAACCTATATGTTTGGCTGAACGGGTGGCACGGACGCTGCAAACAACACTAAGAAGCAGGGCACTGCGCACCTTAAACAAGTGAGTTGTGCCACACGGCTGTGACCGCTTTCTCCCTGTCACTGTACAAATGGGTGACCCCCGACCGCATGCCGGGGGACCACCTTGTGCAGGGGACAGGTGGCCGTGGACACTCCTGGCTCGGGAGCCCTGAGCTGTGTGGGGGACACTCGGGCTGTACACTTTGTTTCTTTCATTCATTCATTCATTCATTCATTCATTCCCCGGGCATCTCTGTCCCTACATCCCGAGCGAGAAGGTGGTGGGCTGCCGGTCGGATGGGCTCGCCACGCTCACAGGTGGCAGTGCCTCGGGGACAGGCAGCGCCCGACCAACACGCATGCGGAAATGGAGACAGGAATCCCGGTCTGCAAGGTCCCAGCCTCACGGAGGAACAGGCAACCGGTTATAGAATAACACGACCCGCACGTTCCACCTGAGGGGTCGGGGACTGAGGTAAGTCCGCCTGGGCCGGTCGGACCGGGGCCAGGTGTGTGTGTGTGTGAGAGACGCCCACCTGACCACTTCCCCAAGGCCCCAGGGTGCAGGACAGGGGTCCCACCGCTCGGCGAGAACCCAACGGAGATTCACTGCCACCTGCGTAAAAGACGCTCACCTGCCTGACCCACCAAGAAGGTCTCACGGGACACACTTTAGGAAGGGAGTAAACTGAGGCCCACCGGAGGAGCCGGGGTGAGTGCCGCCACGCTCGGACCCCACCCCCAACCCAGCCCCTGCTCGGGGCCCAGGTGAGGTTAGCAGGGTACCTGCCCTGCCAGCCAGGAGCCTGGCAAAACCCGGCTCTGCCCCTGTACAGCGCGTGTGCCCAGCCACCTGAGGCACACCTGTCCCTTCACGGCGTCCTGGGAGGACAGGGCCAGCTGCGGCCAGCTGTCCCTGTCCCAGTGACAGGAACATCACCTGGCTCCCACCATAGGGGCAGCGTAGGGAAGGGGCAGCTGTCGCCACTCCAAGTCCCAGCAATGAACACAGTCTGCTTCCTTGGACCCCTCGGGGGAGGGGGTCTGAACCTTTCTGCCAGGTGTCCCAGAGGAAGAGACACCTGTCCCATCTCAGGTCTGCAAGCGGGGACCTCCGTTCCTCCCCCAACACCCAGGCAGTCAGGGCACAGGTAACAAGGGCGTAGAGACACCTGTCCCGCTCAGGGAGCGACGACGTGAGGGCACCTGTCCCTCTCAGGTAGCCACGACGCGGGAGCGCCTGTACCCCCACGCCCAGGGAACGACGATGCCCGCGAGCGGCACCCGGCGCGTCCACCTCAGCGTCACCCTGCGCCCGCGGTGGCGAGCATGCCGGACACCTGTCCCCCCCGCAGGTGACAACGCCGCGGCGGCTCCCGCTCCCTTCCCGCCGCAACCACGGAGAGGCCCCCGCCTCCTCCAGCGGCAAGGATGCCCGGGCACCTGCGCCCCCGCCAGGTACGGAGGCTGCGGGCGCGCGTCCCGCCCACGACGCCGGGGCGTCTGGTTTTGGCACGCAGGCGCCAAGGGGTTCGGAACCCCCAGACCCAGGCGGTGAGAGGAGGGGAACCAGGGTCTCCCGAGTGGCAGGTGAGTGACCTGGGAAGCAGGAGGGGCACCTAGCTGTCCCTGACAAGGAAGGACCGTACCATCAATACTGAAAAGTTTGCCGGGCGCGGGGGCTCCACACCTGTCAGTCCTGGCACTCTGGGAGCCGAGCCGGCGAGGATGTTGTTTGAGCTCAGGAGTTTGAGACCACGCCGTGAGCAAGAGCGGAGACCCCGTCCTACGAAAATAGAAAATTAAATCAGCCAACTAAAAATATATAGAAAAGCTGATCCGGGCTGGGTGGCGCATGCTTGTAGCCCAGCTACTGGGAGGCTGAGGGCAGTGAGGATCGCGTTGACCCAGGAGTTTGGAGGTGGCTGTGAGCTAGCTGAGCCGCACTGCCACCACTCTAGCCTGGGCAACAGAGGAGAGTCTTGTCTCAAAAAAACAAAAGAAAAAACAGGTTTATAAGTCATGTATTAAATATAAATAACACGTAGATTTCCATCTTCAGGTCTGGGGGCGCAACCCCACTGCTCTGTTTTACTATTTTTGTCAAACGAGTTTGTTTTTTTTTTTTGAGCATGAGTCTCCGCTTTGTGCCAGGCTAGATGCAGTGCCGTGCAGCGAGCGGGAGCGAGGCGAGCGGGAGAGGCCATCTATTGATTTCTTGTCCTTCTTTGGGCTCAGCGGATCTCCTGCCTCAGCCTCTTTTGTTTCCGAGTCGGTGGGACCACAGGCATGCGCCACGGCCATGTCCCGTGGCTCATGTTATCGTTTATTACATTATCAGTGCCAATTATGTTTCTTTTCGGATTGTTTGATAGTAGAGGATTGGGGGTCTCGCGGCTCTTGCTCAGGAGGTGGTTCCGAAAGTCGCTGACTGTCGGAGCCAACGTCGGCCTGCTCGGCCTCCCAGTTTATGGCTTGTGATACTGGCGTGAGCCACCCTTTGTGTTTGCTTGGCTGCAGAAGATTCGGGTGAGGCACGGCCGGGACGGTCTAACACTTGTGCCTACCCCACCTTTCTGGGTGCCAACGACAATCTTAGGAAACACTTGGTGACGACCATTTCAGGTTGTGGAGAGTGGCGGGGCGGGTTCGGACCAGCCGGGCGTCTCCCAAGTAGAAGGCCGTGGGCCAGGCCAGAACAGCGCCATGCGCTCCGGGCGCTTGCATCCAGTCGGCGTCACGGACAGCAGGGGACCCGCAGGCGGGAATCTTTTG